GCTGAGGTCCGTGGAGGCCTGCGGCCGCCTCCGAATGCACTCGGCCACCGCCCCGCCGCGTCCAGAGCCCGAGTGCCGGGGCTCAGCGCCCGGCTGGGTCGGGGGCGTGCGGAGGGCCCGAGGCTCGGAGGTGGTATGGGGATCCGCCCAGAGGTGGCTCCCCTGCCGGCGTCCTACCTTTGTTCCCGGTAGTGTCTGCCGGCTCCACGCCCTCTCGTGCAAGAAATACCCACCGGAGTGGCTGTCACGGTGCCCTGGCCTTTCTCGGCCTCGTCGCCTCCTTGAGGGCAGTGCTGTTCAGCGATTTCTAGGGACTCGCGTACGTGAATTTCCTGGAAGGACTCGTGCTACCTGATATCTAGTAGCACCTGGTCATTGGGCACCTGGCTCTCTTGCTGGTCTCCCCAGTGATGAAATCCAAGTATTCCACAGGCTGGAAGTAGGATTCTCCCTAGCGCCTCGGTGATGGCAGCAAATCGTGGTGTGGCTGTTGGCCAGTAAACTGAAACTTCCTCAAAATGTGAGCCCTTGTGCCTGGTTTCCATAAAGGCAAGTTGTCACTTGCATTTTATTAGCGTTTCATGTCGCCTGCACCGTCTAAAGGATGTTTCTGGGTGTTGGGACACCACATGTCAGTTTTAAGATCTTACTCTTCACTCTGTGCATACAGGCTCCTGGAAGCGGGCTCCCCTTCACACGTATTAATGCCAGAGAGCAGGATTAAATGTTTGACATATACCATGTTCCCATTACATACTGCCATGCGAGGTGATTTTGCTTATTTCTCAGAACTTTTACAGTTGGGAATTGCTATAAGAACAGTGCAAAAATTTAACTATGATTTGTCTGTTTCTCCACATTTGTGGATTGACATTTATAGTGTTTTGTAACAAAAGACTTAATTGAGGATCTACTCTGCACCCCTGTTCTATGCCGGGTGAACCAGTTCAGAGCAGTAAGCCAGACACACAGTCCTGTGCTCGTGAATTTTATTGGGAAAGAAAACTTGAGGATGCTCAGCCAGTGTGGCTCAGTGGATTGAGGGTCATCTCATGCACCAAGAGGTCACTGGTTCAAATCCTGGTCTGGGCATGTGCCTGCATTGGCGACTCAATCCCCAGTAGGGGGCATGCAGGAAATAGTGGATCAGTGTTTCTCTATCATCAATGTTTCTGTCTATCTCCATATCCCTTTCTCTCTCTCTAAAAAAATCAATAAAAACATTAAAAAAAAAAAAGAAAACTTGAGTGTCTGTCTTGTCACAGTCACTGTCTCTGGCTTGGGGAAGTCACTCAGTCTTCTTTGAGTCTCAGTTTTGCATTTGAAAACTAGTGTTGGGCTCTTTGGCTCTTCCCAGCCCTAAAATTCTAGGATCCAATTCACTTCATCCAGCACGTAGTGTGCCTGTTTGTCAGGGACTGTGCACGGCATGGGAAACAGTCCTTGCTCTCAGGGACCTTAGGAGTCTAGAGGGGAGAACATGTGGGTGGAATTGAACTAATACAGTCTGAGGATTGCTGTACTAGCACCATGAACTCAGTTGTGGGGTTGTGGGAGGGTGGAGCTCTGATTGGAAAGCTGGGGAAAGACCACAGGACCTGCAGTTGGGTCTTCAGATTGTTGTCCCTCATGAAATTCCCATCCCTCATCCTTTTTCTTGCTACTCCAATTGGTATTTTGTGCCTTATTTTCCAGTAGCACTTTCATTAACATGAAATTCTGTATACTTGTGAGATGGCTTATTTTCATTTTGCAGTTGATTTGGGTTGTTTTGTTAGGTTGTGTGTAGAGAGATTGACCAACAAATAAGTTGTTAGGATGAGTGGAGATAATTGTTTATATCTATAGGAGATACAGTAATAATGGTGACACTTATGAGGTGCTTATTGCTAAGTGCTAAGCAAGTCTTGAGCTTTGTTTGAGTCATTTCATTTATTCTTCATAACAGTGACATAAGTGTATCCCTGTTTGATAGAAGAGGAAATGAAATGGAGTTTTATGATTGATGAGTGCATGATGACCTTTGCTTTTCTCTGCACTTGCAACTGTGTAGACTTGGGAGAGCTGTTTGTCTTGGGTCTCATATGAGTGGCCTAATCACCAATGTTAATTTGATCTTGATTCTGTAGTGTTTTCATTTTTCTCTGATCTACTTAGCTGCTAAGCATAGAGTCGTTTGTAAATGGAGGACCATGTTCATGAGTGAGGAGACATTGGCTACCTGGCTGTGTTTGATGAGAACATGTTCATGTTATAAGTGTTCTTGTGCTATGCAACAGTGCCCGGGAAGGGCAACAAGACACTCCCTTAGAATACCCATTTGTATTAACTACATTATCCTGTGAGTACTATGTAAAAATACATTTCTTTATTAGAGCTTCATTCATCTCTTCATTTGTAGCCTAGTTTGTAATAAGTTGATAATTTTAAACCCAGTTGATACAAAATAGAAAAATTTTGCTAAAATTTTATTTATTTGTTATAGATCACTGAATCTAGTTAGTTCTATACAAATATTTTTGGAATTGTTTGTAACCTCTTTATAACCACAGTTTTATTTGCTGTATAAAGATAATCATTATATGTAACAGCCAAAAAGTGGAAGCAACCCAAGTGTCCATCAACAGCTGATGGATAAACAATGTGGTCTATACATATGATGGAGTATTATTCAGCCTTAGAAAGGAAGGACATTCTGATACATGCTGCAACATGGATGAACCCTGAAGATAATATGCTGAGTGAAATAGCCAGACACAAAAGGACAATCCTGTATGATTCCACTCATATGAGGTACCTAGAGAAGTCAAACTCATAGAGACAGACAGTGGAATGGTGGCTGCATCAGGTGGAGGGGACATAGAGTTTCCTTTTGGAAAGACGAAAAAATTCTGGAGGTGGATGGTGGTGATGACTGTAGACAATGTGAATGTACCTAATACCACTGAACTGTACACTTAAAAATGGTTAAAACGGCAAGTTTTGTTATATGTTTTAACATAATAAAATAGTAATTATAACATTTTCCTGAGTTGCCCATCTAAACTTAATGAAATCCGTTGATTCTAATAGTTGTTAAATCTATTGCATCTAGAGGTAACAGGCCACCTCCAAACCAGAGCTTGGTCTTACTGCAGTTCTCGGAGGACTAGCCGTGATAACTAGTGAACATTAAGGTAGAACCCACACGTGCTTGTGCAGCCTTTGCCTCTGAGACCGCCACCTCACAAGTGCTGCTGCTGTATAAACTCGTGTTCCCTTTAAGTTTAATTTCTCTTAAATTTATTATGCTCTGAAGAAGTGTGGTTATAGGGAAACTCATTTTACTAGAGTTTCCCATAGGCAAAAATAAAGAGATGCCTGGCATTGCTTATTATTCATTTAACATTTCTCTCTCTCCAAAGTTAGACCAAGAAAGTTTTCAATTTTTTTAAATGATTCTTGTTCAGAAGTGAGTTGTATGGGGTTTTTGTTAATCTCAAAATTAAGTGTTGTTTTGATTGTTTTCAGTAATGGGACAGACTAGATTTAACTTTCATGTTTATTTGTAAGTCCTGCTTCCACCTTTCTAGCTCATTATGTAAAAGGCATTCATTCTACCTTTAATCATACATATATATATATATGTATTTTTTTTTTTTCCTCCCCCACTGGTGAAGAATTTCTCTGAGTTTATTTTGAGGCAAACTGTTGACAACTTGCCCGGAAGCGAAATCACAATGGATTGAGATCATGCTCAAAGAATGGCAGTTTGGCACCTTATTTGATACATTACATTCAAAAGAGCAGAGGCCAGTGGATCACTTGAAATCCATTGGTGATAGATTAGGGAGGCAGGAGAAAGCAAAGCGGGGGTGCAGGGGTGGGGGGCTGGGATTGGGTAAGAAGTGAAACGATAGACACACTTCTTTTACTTAGGTGGGTGCAGGACAGTTAAGTCAACAATTAACCAGGGGGTTTGTGGTCGCAGCTCTGTGCTTTGAGGGGTCCTGAAAAAGGGGGAAATGACTTTGTTTTTGCAAAGGCGCATTTATCAGATATGTTATCTTAGATACCAGAAGACAGCCGACAGGCTTAATTAAGGTGAAGATTAACCTTTGGTAGGGAAAATACTGTCTTAGGACCTGACTACCCACCATAAGCTGCTTTTGGTTTAAAAGTTTTAAATTCAGCTGCGAAGCAGGCCTCCCCTGAGCTTGTCAGGCTAGCAGGCGGCCTTTCATCCGCATAGCCCTTTTTGGAGGATTAAAAATACTAACTCGATTTCTTCATTGGTTAATAGNAGACACACTACTTTTACTTAGGTGGGTGCAGGACAGTTAAGTCAACAATTAGCCCGGTCGGCGTGGCTCAGCAGTTGAGCCTTGACCTGGGATCCAGGCGATCGGGGTTCGATTCCCGGTCAGGGCACATGCCCGGCTTGTGGGCTTGATCAATGACTCTCTCATCATTGATGTTTCTATCTCTCTCTCCCTCTCCTTTCCTCTCTCTGAAATCAATAAAGATATATTTAAAAACAAAAAAAACCCAAAACAACCAGGGGGTTTGTGGTCTCAGCTCTGTGCTTTGAGGGGTCCTGAAAAAGGGGAAAATGACTTTGTTTTTGCAAAGGCGCATTTATCAGATATGTTATCTTAGATACCAGAAGACAGCCGACAGGCTTAATTAAGGTGAAGATTAACCTTTGGTAGGGAAAATACTGTCTTAGGACCNGCCAGAAGACAACAGACAGGCTTAATTAAGGTGAAGATTAGCCTTTGTCAGGGAAAATACTGTCTTAGGACCTGACTGCCCACCATAAGCTGCTTTTAGTTAAAAAGTTTTAATTTCAGCCGCGAAGCAGGCCTCCCCTGAGCTTGTCAGGCTAGCAGGTGGCCTCTTTCATCCACACAGCCCTTTTCGGAAGGATTAAAAATACTAACTCAATTTCTTCATTGGTTAATAGCACTACTCACACTTTTTTTTTTTCTTGACTCTGTTCTGGCTTCATTGTATTTTCCTAGGTATTTATTCCTTTTATCTAATTTTTCAAATATTTGCAGTAAGGATGCCCCTAATGTCCTCCTATTGCCTGTTGTCTGTCACTGTTCCCCTTTTTACTCTCAACTGCTTATTGTGCCCACTCTCATTTTTTCTTAATAATTCTCCCAGAAGTTTGCTTTTTAAAGAATCATCTCTAGACTTTGTTGGTTCTAACACTAATTTAAGGAGCCAAATTTCAATGACAAGGAAGGTTGGGCTTCCTGCAGACTCCCGGATGTACCTTTTCATCAGTTGACACTGAAGGGCAGGGCTGTGACCAGGAGCCTGGAGGTGCCTCAGGAGGGAGTGAAGGGAAGGGGGGGGGAGGCTTCTTCTCTTTTCCCCTGATGGCAAAAGAGGTCTCCTAGTGATGGAAATGAGATGAGAAGCTTGGCATCAGTCAGCAGTGCAGTGAGCAGAATTGCATTACTTCTTTTTTACTTCTGAATAAACCGTTTCTGTGGCTGTTGGGGACAGAGAGGCTGAGGTTGGTTTCTTTGATTCCTGGCCACTGAAGGTGAGCAAAGAATATGTAACTTCAGGGACCCTCAAGTCTTTCTGATGTACAGAAAGTACACCAGGGCTGCTATCAGAGCCACGCCCGCCAGGACTCCAATCACGATGCCAGCGATAGCCCCATCTGAGAGGCCAGGACTTTGTGGTGTTGGATCATGGTATACACGGAACTGCCCAGTTACTTGTATATGCTGAAACTCTTTGTTTGTGGCCAGTAGGGTGTAGTTTCCTGTATCCTTCAGGGTGACCTTCTGGAACAGCAGGGATCCATTGGGGTATATTGTCTCTTGACCACTGTATAAAGGTCCTGGGTGTATTTCATGAGTGTCTATTACATACGATGCAATTTGATGGCTGATGTCCATACTTTCCCCCTTGTACCAGGCATAGCCTACGAGACTCCCAGGCAGATTGTGGACTCGGAGAAGCACATCCTTCCCTTCGGCAGCATTGGGTGGCACTAATTCAACACTGAGTTGGGCAGTGGTGGGTGGGCTCCAGAAGGTTAAGAGTGAGACGGTCAGCAGGAGCCCCTGCCAGGGGACACGCCCTCTGCAGGTAGGGGCTAAGGGGGAATCCATGGTGTTTGCTGCCTGCTCTGTCCCTCCTTCTGTGAGAAGATCTTGAGGTCCAGAAATGCTCACAGGCACTTCTCTGTGGACTGGTGGGATCTGCTCTAATCATATTTTTTATTAAGGTGGGATTCACAGAACATAAAATTAACCTTTTCAAAAACAGTTTATTGGCATTTAATACATTTGTAATGTTGTACAACCACCAGCTCTGTCTAGTCCAAAACATTTTTGTTGCCCCACAAGGAAATTCCGTGGTACTCATTTAGCAGTTACTCCTCCATGCTCCCTCCTGGTAACTACCAGCTTCCTGTTTCTTTGGGCGCTTTGCCTGTTCTGGGTATTTCATACAAACGGGATCGTACAATATGAGGTCTTTTGTGCCTGGTTTCTTTCACTTGGCATGTGATTTCTAGGTTCATTCACATAGCATGTGTCAACACTTCTTTCATTTTTATGATAGAATGATAGTATATGTAAATAATGATTTACATATACTACTATTTATTCATCTGCTGATTCTTCAGTCAATTTTTATTAAATACATATCCTAAACATTTTAACACCAGCTTACCCATTCACTCATTGGACATTTATGAGCGTTCACTATGCATCAGGCAGTGTGTTGGGTCCCAAGGATGTAAAATGACCATCACTCATAATTACAAGGTGATGCATGCTGTAAACACTGTTTATGCAGCATAGAAGATACAGTGGTTAATTCTGCTTGGCAGGTAGATTTCATTCATTTTGTGAGCAGGTTTTTGCTGATGGCAAAGAGTAGATATACAGGGTGGAGCAAAAGTTTAATTATTGTATTATTTTCCAGATGAACAACCGTAAACCTACTTTTGCCCCACCATGTATTTTGTCCATTTTCACGGTAGATCTCTGTATTTGAAGTAGTGAGCTAGGCACTCAAGGAGAGTACTCTTTATGGTCTTCTGCAAGTCAATACTACCAGCTATTTTATTTCTAGCGGTTTAGTCCCTTGTTACATATTGCATAAGGTAGGTAAGTGTTCCATAAACTACTTCCTTGGTCTAAGAATAGACTAAAATGCAGATGAAAAGCAGTTTAGAGAAAAACGTGCTTTTAGAGATTTGGTAGACCATGTGCCTTCACAGGAATGGGATTGGTTGATGGCTTCGTCTGGCTGGATTCAGAGTGTATCAGTGGAATGTAGACTGCCATAAACTAACCCTCGTATTTCTTTGAGGCCAACCTGTTATGAGAATGCTCAGTCAGTCCCTGAGAGAGAATGATCCTCTGCACAGCACTCTCCTTCACCAGTGTCGTGCTAACGTTGGCAACTGGGTATGGTGCTCTGTTCAGTAGTTGTCAGACGTTGTAAGTGGGTTTGAGATGTAGCGGGGATGAGCCTCTGTGAAAGCCTTTGGACCAGGCTGAAGCTGTAGGGCCAACAGAGTTTCTAGAAGAGGGTGCTAGTGAGACATTAATGGACGTGTGTCTTACCTTTCAGCCTACAACACAGCAGTCGCCCCAGGATGAGCAGGAGAAGCTCCTGGATGAGGCTGTGCAGGCCGTGAAGGTGCAGTCATTCCAGATGAAGAGATGCCTGGTAAGCGGGCGGTGTGGGAGCCCAGGCTGCATGCACCTGTGACAGGTAGTGGTGCTTAGTAAGTGTTGCTGAGCCAGTGGACCCACATGTTCTCCATTGAATTACTCCGCTTTGTTCTATCTTGAAGGCTTTTCTTCTGTCCTGAATGTATTTTTTTGTAGACACTAGACTAAAGATTATACTTACACCTACTTACTTACTTTCAAATTCTAAAAGAAATTTAGATAGTCTAGGAGATAATCTGTGTAGAAACTATGGGTTCTCAGATTAAAATTTAAGAAATGGAACCAAGTAGGCTGGTACTTCAAGTTACAAGTTGCTGATGCTGATGATCATCTCTTACCATATCTTATAGTTTCTAAAGCTTAGTAATAGGCTCTGTTAACCAATTGTATCTATTGTATTGCTTTTCTTGCAAACAAACTGGCACAAAAGAAGAAAGTCTTGGAATGGAGAACATGGGTGCGCATGGAGCTTGCTATTGCTTGCTTCTGTCTCTTTCCATATGAATAGTGTTTCCTGTGTCTAAAGGAATTGTCACTTCTACATCTCTGAAGAGCTAACCTGTGGCAAAGCCATTGTCAGGATCGTGTCTTGCTTCACAAGAATCAGGATGCCAACGTCCTTGGTTGCAGGGAAAATGTGACTCCACTGGAGCTAGTTCCGCAGTCACGAGGGGTTGTAAAGGTTGGAGTTTTGCTGCGAAGCTCGCAGTCCTAGACATGTAAGACTTGCTGGGCTCTGCACCTGCTGATGACGACTCATGCAGCTCTTTCTTTTCATTCGAGAGAAGACAAGGTGAAACCAAACACAAGTTTTCTGTGATTAAAATAATTTAAGTGGTGTAACAAATATTGGATGAAAGAGTTTATATAGCCAAGTTAAGTGATTATTTAAGGTAAGCATTCTCATCAATTCTGTTGGTATCTTTGTAGGACAAGAACAAGCTCATGGACGCTCTGAAGCACGCCTCTAACATGCTTGGTGAGCTCCGGACTTCTATGTTATCACCAAAGAGCTACTATGAACTTTGTATCTTTTGAATGTTGGAGAATGAACATTGTGACTATACATTTTTCTTGATAAAGCCATATTTTGTTTGTTCCTTCTTAAGTTTTTCTGGAATTATATGATCTTTATTGTCTTAAGCAGATAGTATTCCTGTTCCATGCAAATGTGCTAAGTGACAAAAAGAAAATCTTAGTATCAGAAACCCTTTTTCTGTGTCTTCACTTTTTTAAGTGGGTTTTTGTTGTATCTCAATCTTCAGACCTCCCACTGAGCTTCCCGAGCCATTAGGCAGTTGGTTCTTTGTGCTTACATTCTGTCTGCAGGACTCTGAAAGGGAAGGGAATTCAGGGATGTGCTGATTCAAACCTGCTAGTGGTCTGTCAGGCAGGCCTGGTTTTTACTGCTTTGCCTCACCAGACATCTTTTAAAACCCTTATTTTAAAATTTTAGCACAGCTGAAATTCTGCCTTCACTCAAACACGCTTTCTTAAAGGACTGACGCTTAAGATATCTGCCGATAGCTGAATGACTCCAACAAGTCCCAGGGTTTCGCCCAGGTTGGCTTAGCTTTATTTGAGCCCTTAACCGTGACAAAAAGATATGGCTATTTCTGATGAACTGCACTACTTGGAGGTCTACCTGACGGACGAGTTTGCCAAAGGGCGGAAGGTGGCGGATCTCTATGAACTCGTGCAGTACGCTGGGAACATCATCCCTCGGCTGTAAGTTCACCACCCGGAGGGCCCGCTCTCGGCGTTGCCCGCTGTCTGTGACATCCGCTAGAAGCCAATATTGAGGTTATTTAATTAAAAAAAAAAAAAATGTTTTTATTGATTGTTTTTTAGAGAGGAAGGGAGAGAAATAAAAAGATAGACATTGATGAGAGAGAAACATCAGTCAGCTGCCTCCTGCACCCCCGACTGGGGATAGAGCCTGCAACCTGGGCACGTGCCCTGAAGGGAATCGAACTGGGACCCCTGGGTTCATGGGTTGATGTTCAACCACTGAGCCACACCAGCTGGCAGGTTATTTAATTTCTTAACAAATAATGATTAACATTTTGGTAGATAATGATTTTTTAAAAGTTTTAGAGTGTAGCCCGGCTGGGCTTGCTCAGCAGTTGAGCTTCGACCTGGGATCCAGGCGATCAGGGTTTGATTCCCGGTCAGGGCACATGCCCAGGTTGCGGGCTCAATCCCCAGTCGGGGGCGTGCAGGAGGCAGCTGATCAATGACTCTCTCATCATTGATGTTTCTCTCTCTCTTCCTCTCCCTTCCTCTCTCTGAAATCAATAAAGACATATTTAAAAAAAAAGTTTTAGAGTGTAATCAGTTTTACTTTTTATCTAGATTATTGAGGAATTTTGGAAACAAAGAAATGGACATATTTTGTTCATTGTCTTGACTACTAGAGAAATGAATGTGGCAGTTAGTCTCCCTAATGTGTTTAAAGGTGATGTTTATGTGTGTATATTTGTATGTGTCTGTAAATCTGGGGGGTCGATGGTTATATTTTATGTCAGGTGATATTTTTTAATTGTGCAGGAGAAAACAAGGTCCCTGCCTTGTATATTTAATGTGTTTGTATTTGGTCTGCTTGGACATACAGAACCAGGTTCTTGAATATTTTATTTATTTATTACATTTTTAAAATATATGTCTTTATTGATTTCAGAAAGAGGAAGGGAGAGGGAAAGAGGGATAGAAACATCAATGATGAGTCATTGATCAGCTGCCTCCTGCACCCC